AACAATGCTCACGATGTCTCTTTTTTTCCATGTGGGATCTGACCTATAGTATAACATTCAGGTATAAAAATGTATCTTCCTCTGATATGAGTAATCCAGGCTTGAAAAATTACATGTTATATGTATCAAGCACTAATGGGTTCCTACTTGCTACTATTTATTTATTGTGGTACTGGGGATTGAACTCAGGACCTTGCACTTGCCAGGCAGTAGCTTATACTGCTGAGCTATTTCCTTGGCCTGTTGCTATTATTTTAAATGGAAAAATCTGTGATGGCTATTGGTAAATGCCTGAGTACTTCCTAAAATACAATGTAATACAGTGAAAAGTATAAATACAACAAATATATTAGAATGTAAATTGCTCAAACCATCAGTTTCTGATCATTAAAGACTAATACAATTATTAACTGTTACTTTGTATTCAGTAATATGCGGTTTGCTTGTCCTTTGAAGCAGACACTAAATGTAGTATTCAAAAACTATGACATTTAATAACAGTTAGAGGTTTAAAAATTTTTTTTCAAAATTGTATTGATAAACAGATAGCAATGAGACAGTTTCAAATAAAATTGGAAGTACAGTTTCAACAAATAACACACTGCCAAAAATGTTTATAATGTATACAGTATTTTTCTCAGATATTAAAGCCAAATATAAATGGACAAAGAAAAATAATCTCAAAAGCAAAAGTATAAAAACTCAGAAGATTATATTTGGCAAAGAAATTTTATTTCATGTGATACATGGTACTTTTCAATACCTTTTGATGTGGGGTAAGGTAGGATCTTGAAAAGTTAATTCTGGGGGCCGGGGAGGTGGCTCAGTAGAATAAGCACTTCCCTGGCAAGCGCAAGGGCCTGAGTTCAATCCTTGATTCTGCAAAAAAAAAAAAAAAAAAAAAAGTTAAATCCTTGTGAGATTGTAATCATTTTAAAGCAGTCATATCTTGTTGACCAAAATCTTAGGAAATTGTTTTATAAACGCTATCTAGGGGCCCTGTCTGGCTCTGCCCAGGCCTGTAACACTTGGCCATACTTAGCAGCAGTGGGCATTCTATGATGGTGGCATCTGTTGCCTCTGTCCCCTAGAACCTGGCCTGGGTTCCCATGCCATGAGCACAGTGCTCAGTCTTTAAGAAATCGCAGTGACCCTACATGCTCCTTGGTGTTCCTCTTTGAACCCTTTCCACCCTACTCCTAATTCCAGCTCTCCCATCAGTACAGAAATGAGATGATCTTTTGGACAATTGTAACACCACTGAGTAAGTGGTTACTGGCTTTCTGGGTCCAGGGAATAAACCTATCTGCAGCCTAAGGACTGGGAAGAAAGACAAAATTACTTTTTCATTTTTTTTTCTTCCAAAGCTGTAAGAATAAAAGTCAAAATTGAAAATAAAAAACAAAACAAAACCAACAGACAGGCAGGATAGTTTAGTAATCCCAAGTACTTGGGAGCCTGATGCAGGATCTCAAGTTTGAGGCCCACCTTGGGTACTTAGCAAGACCCTGTCTCAAAAAAAAAAAAAAAAAAAAAAGGCGAGGCATGCTGGGCAGTAAAGCACTTGCCTAGCATGTGTGAGGCCCTGAGTTCAATTCCCACTACCACAAACAAATAATAAAACCAAATACATTGACTTCTTTTTGCATTGTACTGTATTTCAAAAAGAAAACAAAACAAATAAATCACAAAATACCCTAACTGTATTGAGTTTTTAAAACTCAACCTATCCCATTTTTATTTCTTTTAAATTTTTTAAAGTCTTTAAGTAGGCCTTGTCAAACCTATCTTCTTCCCTTCTAATTCCCATACATCTGTTTTTCTTTCTTTCTTCCTCATTTCTCCCAGGAGAATCATTTTTCTGTGATTGATTAGGCTCTGTCATTCAGCAACTGTTAATCTTTGGGATGAAAGCCAAATATGAATGCACTCTTCTCTTAAACTGCCAAACCACAATATATAAATCTGCTGTAAGTTACAGATTTTTAAAATTAGGTTTAGCTGCATAATCACAGCAATCAGGCCTTTTGTTCAGCTTCGGGGTGGACCCCATGCAGCAAACATGGATTTTTATCTAAAGACATTGTTACAGAGAATATTTACAAGTACAATGGAGTGATATTTTATACTTCTGTCTGATTGCAGCTTTCTCTTTCCAAAATTATAACTATGACTTCAACACCTGTCCTAAATGCAGTCATATCATATTTGGATGCTGCAAGCTTTGAGACATAATGTTTTTATAGACATGTTGGTGCTAAAATCTTGTTGGATTTGGCTTGCATTCCAGAATCATTAATGTGCCAGTGCTGATTCCAGATGTGCTCTGTTTCTTTCAGGGAGTATAATGAATTTGACATTATAAGTACATGAATGAGTGTGTATAAGGCCCAACCCTTCTTTCAAAAAGAACCCAAAATTAAATTATTAGTTGGGAAACACTGAAGCTGTCAGAAGCAGATTTAACTTTTTTATTGTGATACAAATGCAGGAAATTTACCATTGTGACTTTTAAATTTATTTTGTTAGCACATATTTGCAGTCATGATGATTTCATTCATTTTGGGGATTGGTACATGCAATTGCACATCCAAATTGCTTTCTTTCCCCTTCCCTGCCAGTGCATTTTTTGGTTAGCATCAGATCTATTTTTTTCTTTTGTAAGTCTTTATAAAGTTACTTATCATCAACACAGATTAACAGCCAGACTAACAGGCCAGAAATATAAAAAACAAGTGTACTAAATCAAGGTATACTTTTTGATACACTCACCATGCTAGATTATAATAACTTTTCTTTCTCTTTTTTCATATTGTAGGTCCTTTATTTTGCACTTTTATGCATTGGGTTTCTCTTGTAAGAGAAACCATGACATATTTAAGTTTGTGTATCTAGTTTACTTCACTTAACATTATGTTCTCAAAATACATCTATTTGTCTTCAAATAACTCAAGTTTATTCTTCTTTATGGCAGAGTTGTACTCCATTGTGTATAATTGCATTTTCTTTACCCATTTAACTATTGATAGACACACAGGCTGTGTCTAAGATTTAGCTATTAGGAATTGTTCAGCTATAAATATGGGTATGCATGCATCTCTGTAACATGACATCTTTAACTCGCTGAAAAAGATATTTAGGAGGGAAGTATCTGTCTCAAATGGAATTTCTAGTGTTAGGGTTTTGAGGAATCTCTATGCTGATTTTCATAATGGTTGTACCAGTTTATACTTCCACCAAAAATGAAGAAGAGTTCCTTTTTCTCTGCAACCTCACCAGAATTTGATTTCTTGGTGATGGCCATCTTTCTGGAGATGATAGCTCATATTGTTTTAGTTTGCATTTCTTGAATGGCCAACAATGTTAAACATTTTTTTATGTATTTATTGGCCATCTGAGTCATGTCTATTCATTTCAGATGTCCATTTTTGGTTGGATCTTTAAATTTCGGAGGTTTAATTTCTTGAGTTTTAAAAATATAGTTTAGATAATAGCTTTCTTTCTGAGAAACAGCTGACAAATTATTTTTGCTCTATTGGATGTTTTCTTTGCTCTGAAGAAGATTCTTAATTTAATGTGATCCAAGTTGTTGACTCTTGGTATTATGTCTTTTACAATCAGTGCTTCATTCATAAGGTCTTTGCTATACATATACCTTCAAGAATTTTACTTATTTTATCTTCCAGCAGATTGTTTCCATTGTAACATTTAGATTTAGTCTATTTTGGATTAGTGCATGGTGAGAGATATGAGTCTAGGTTCAATTTTTGGTATATGGAAAGCCAGTCTTGCCAGAATATTTATTCAAGGGGTTATCTTTTCTCCAAATATTTGGCTCGTTTGTCAAAGATAAGGTAGCTGAACATACCTGTTGTTGTTTATGAATCTTCTCTTCTGTTCCATTGATCCA